TGTCCATGAGACGTCTTCTGTGCACCCTTCAATCATCGCCATTCTCACGCCACCAGCTTCAAGGTCGTGCGATGAGTGGCAGCATTTTTTAAGGGCTTGGCACCAGTACCCCCCTGGCAGAGAGTACCATCGTCAGCGTTACGGGTGCGTACGCACGACACATACACAGTAGCACAGTAATGCACAAGCAGTTGAAACATAAAATTTTTTTACGCAGCGTGATTCCACTTACCTCAGCTTTTCTATTGCACACCGTGTAGATGTGTTTGATGCTAATGTTGCTGCTGTGTCAGCTGTTTTGGTAACTAAACACACCCACCCACGCCATCAGGTTGTTAGTCACAGAGAGAGAGGGGGGGACTGGCAGTGAAGTTTCCACAAGACGGAAATCGAGTAGAAGCATACCTGACCGCCTGGATGATAAATCTGTTTAGAAAAAAAATTGCCGGCAAAGACAAGAGGGACTGATATGGCCATTTCTGGTTTATTAGCCGTCGTCAGCCAGCTGTACCCAACTCCAGGTGGTGCATCATCTGAGGCTCAATGGTTAGAGGGCTGCAGTTATGATCAAAAGCTCTCAGGTTTGATCCTCGGGTGATCCACCTGTGGGGTTATGTATGGTTGGCTGATGACAGCTAATGAGCCAATAAATAGTCATTCGCGTCTCCACTGTCCTAGCCGGCAATCTTCACATGCCTACACTATTAGATGAATGTGACATCTACCCAAAGCTGAGGGGAGTTGTCCTTAATTGTTAAGGCTCGAGTCCAGAAAACCTGTTCTGTCCATCCTCGAAATGGGCATTGTTTCCGCAAAAGTGGGCGACACAGTCTCATCTTGTCATGGGCTCGCCAAACTTCGCCGTTTGTTTCCAGCCTTCTCCCGAAAACTTGCTATACTTAAAGAAAGGGTATCTTTCGGTTTTAAAAAAGTTTCTAAATTGCCAAATAAGTTTGAAACCTAGTGACCGCTACACTAGAATTCAAGGTTTACAAACTGCGCACTGTGTACATCCTGTTTAAGGAAAAGAACGTTTTCTCCTACGGTTTCAGGAAGAAGTCACATACAGTAGATTCACTATCTCATGCG